CATTCACGAGTGTCACCCAGCGGCATGGCCCCGCCCCTTTTTCTCCTCCATTTCGGGCAAATTTTTCACTGACTCGAGTATAAGCCGAGGCGGCTTTTTTCAGCCCAAAAAGTGGGCTGTAAACCTAGGCTTATACTCGAGTATATACAGTATTTTCTGTACTTAGCCTTTTTGTCTTTCAGTTGATCAGAGAGATCTTTGTGCAACTATGATGGTTTCTTTTTGGATTTCCTGTTTTTATTTTTCAGTGGTGTTGTGCTAAGTTCTTCAGAGTTTCCCAAGCTCCTTCCCCCTAACCATTGTCTATTGCACACTCGATGTTTTAGTTGCTATGCTTTTTTGTGGCCTGCATCCCATATTTCTCCCTTATATCTCTAATTCTATCTATATCTACTTCTGGGATGTTTGGTCTAAATATTCCTCCCACTCCATCTTCTTCCACTGTCTAACTTTTATCCCAGCCCCTGTCTTCCTTTCAATCATATCATCCAACCTTCTTACTATATTTTCCCCCTGATTTAATTCATCCATCATTATTATTATCTCCTCTTTATCTTTTTCCCTTCTTCTTTTCTTTTATTGGCTCCTCTCTTTCTTTTGTTAGCTCCTCATTTTCCTAGACGACTTGATTTTAGCTCATTAACCCTCGTATGGAATTTTCCATTTTTCCCATAGTTTCCTTAAAACTTTTCCCCATCATGTCCATTGCATTTTGGGATAGTAAATCCATCTTCTTTACAGTTCCACTCATTTCGTATGGATCTCCAGAGAAAAGTGTTAAATGCTGAAATGTAGAATTTTTCTTTTATCTTTTAAGCAATCTCCATTATTCCCCAATTCCAGTTGCTGGATTATACAGCTGCTGGTGTCTGTGTCCAATCAAAGAGCTACAGTCTTTACAACGTAGACTGTTTCCACTCACTTTCTCTGTAATTTTCTCAGTAAACAAATCCCAAATGCAGGCAGCTTATCTAATTCTAATTCTTGCAACACTGTTTCCAGGGCTAAATTCTTTTTTCCCTTTACTTTCTCACACTTCCCTCTGGGTTTTACTCTGGCCAGAAGATGTCGCTGTTGCACTGTTTCTCTTCTACTCCTATCCCTTAGCTTGCTTTGCATATGCCATATTCTTTTAAAGTTCCGGAACCAAATTTTAATCCAAATAGAGTTTGTTAAATCCTTAGATGACCATTCTGCTTTTCTTCTTTTAGCATTTATAGTGTCCAAATAATCAAACAGTTAATGTATCTTATTTCGAGTCTCTTTCGGCTCTCCGCTTATGCGCCGCTATTTCAGAGGGTGGAAGCTTGACAAAACCACCCCCTTCTTTTTCAGCCCCACTGTTGATCAATCTTTTCTAGATAAGGGGCATTTCTGACAGAAGTTTTAAAAACCCAGAAATTTCTCACTCAGCCATCACACTGTTCTTCTTCAATTTCGCTCCTGCACAAATCTCATTTTTCTGTGACTGCCAAGAAAAAATGGCGGTTGTTCTTGCTGTCGTTCAGGAGAACTTGCTTCAGACCTTAGAAGGAAATTGCGGGTTCCTCGTGGTCAGCAAAGTGCCTCTCCTTTCTTCATTGCCCCTCCAAGGCGGCTGTGACCCCATGGGGTCTCCCGACAGTGATTACTGGCTGAATTTCATGGGGCTCGTTATTTTCCACCTGTTCTCACTGCAACGTCAATTGGAAGTTTTCCAAACTTCTTGAGTTGTTTTCCCCTTTAAAATTTTCACCATGGAATCCTTCCCAAACTCTGAGTTTGTTAAAATCAGTTCTTTTAGAGTCTAGCACACTGGCTTGGTTAAAACAAACAAGTCCAGGTTTACTTCTAGCAACGAAGCCAAGCAAAGGTGGAGAAAATGCAGTAGTATACAAAAATAACTTTGTGGAATATCCCCCTGGGTCCTAAAGAGGCAAGGTACTGCTATGTACAAACTGTTAGAGTTAAGAATTAGTTGGCCCACATAAGACTGAGAATTTGAAAACTAAGGATTCCCCTAAGTCTTGCCAATGACAAACATGTGCATTCAGTATGCAGCTGCAAATCTTCAGTGTCAGAATCAACTGACACCTTACTCTTCTCCATTTTGTTGTAAAGCTAGTGCTAACTCCAAGATCTTACCTGATCCAATTGCTTTGGATTTCTTGAGAACACCTGTATAACCTGTTTGGCTTGAAAAATCAGATGTTTGCTTTCTCAACTTGTTACTCCTAGACTTTATAAAAATGTAAAGATCTCCTTGAATTAAATTTGACTGCTAATTAACATGTTCCTGTTGTTTCTTGGCATCAGTATTGAAGTGGTTTGTCATGGTCTTCCAGATATTCTTCAACATCTCATATAAAATACAACTCTAGAATTTATTGGTGGCCCAGTCCTGATTAACTTTGGGTAAGGGTCGACCAAAATTGCTAGATGTTGCTGCCTATTGAGAGCTAGGATACAATTTGAAGCCATTGAAAATATTGTTATAGGAAAGCTAAAGGCCTTAGAGATTCAAAATGCTTTTTATCATTTTAGATTAATTTACTAGCTATAGAATTCCACAGGGATAGCTCTCCAATGGATATTCATGCTCTGGTAACTTCCTTTTTGGACTTCTGGAAAGCATTTGTGAGGTTGTCTTTGAAAATATCCCAGAAACATCAGTTGGTTCAGAACATTGGGTAAATGAGCTGGTTAATAAAATTAGATCATCCTAGTACTTCTGCCACCAGAGTGCATCTGGACCAAGTTCTAAGTGCTGATGTTAAAACTCTAAATCCTAAACAGCTTTGTGGCAGCTACCTGAAGAAGCATCTCCTACCTAGTTCTTCAGATCTGAACCTGAGATTTTCCTCTGCAAATGAAGCAAGGTTGTAAGAGAGAGGGCTTTTCCAGTGGCGATATCCGATTTATGGAACATACTCAGCAGAGTGACTAAGGCAGTGCCTACTTTATAGAACTTTTTTTGTAGAAACTCAATTCTGTTTTTACTCTTTGGCCTTGTGGAAGTTTAAAATTAATTCACTGTTAGAATGAATTCTGATAACTATCTCAAGGTAGATTGTTATGCATTTTATATTGTAATCTGTTGCAATAGTAAGCTATAGAAATCTATCATACAACCATTGTTTTAAACTTAAAATAAAAAAGATAGGATTAATATTCAGCTACTGTATCTAAGGTCTTACTAGTAATCTCTTGTAAACAAAAGAGATATTGTACACTCTATCTGAAATGTTTATTATCTATGTTTAATGTTAACATGAGTAAAAATATTTTTACTTTATTACCTTACATTTTTTTTCATCTGTACAAGTAGCATTCCCATAACCCAGTTCCCACTCTAGTATATCCTTACATGTGTCTTAGGATCTGGAGAACCAATATTTCCACAGATGTTGTTTTCAGGTTCTGCTGTTCTTGACAGACCCCTATATGGTTTTTTTGCAGGCAAGTTTGCTGATGCAAGGGAGAAGAGGAAGGAAAAAAGAAAGGGGATTAAACTGAAGTTCTATCTACATGATCTTTTAGGTCTTTTTGAAATAAAAAATATCATCTTAATTTTCTATGTGAAATTCCATTTTATGTGGTATAATCAATTCCCCTAACATGAAAATTGAGGAAGCTTGTATTAACTGACGGGAAATAAATGTCACTTTATCATTCATTTAAATATTCACCATAATTAAAGTCAGTTTCTTTGTTGTGAGCTTTTTCTATTTTCATTTTAGGGAAATTGATTAAATTACATAAAAGGCAATTCCACATAGAAAAGTAAGAGAATATACTTTATTTCAGAGAGATCAATATAAAAGAGAGAGAACTGCTGCAAGGCTTTTCCCCTGAGGATCAGATATCACAAAGAACAACATACTATTGCCCAATTTTTTTGGTTTCCAATTGAGGTGTCAGTTTTTGAACAGTTTTAAACAATGCTCTTTTCATAAGAAATGTTGTACAGTAAATAAAGAATAACACAGTTGAGCATCAAAATAGTTTTGTTAAATGTAACATAGACACATTTTTAACAAACCTTGTTTCAAAACCATTTGTGCTCAAATACTTTATATTAAGGAAATGCAGTACATTTTCTCCTAATATATTAATCTCAGTCAACCTAATGCAAACTAAAAACATGCTGGCCTTTCAATATTAATCTAAATTCCCACCTAATTGTATCTCACATAAAGGTATTAGGAACGTGAAGACACCCCTCCCCCCTTAAGAAAACACATATAACATAAAATAATTTTACCTGTTTTGTTCAGTGCCAGCTTGGAATTGTCCAGGTTTCCCATTAGAGGTACTTGCATGCTCGCCTGGTACAGAGATTCCAGATCAGAAACCTCCTGCACCGTTTCCTGATTCTGCACTGGGTAGTCCCCAAAAGCTCTTTGACTGATCACAGGTGATTTGTTTCCAGGTATCAAAAGCCAACTGGCATTCTTATGCTGAGTTACTGCTGTGCTAAAATTGGTAACATGGTCTGTGCAGCTCTCTACAGGCACAGATGTAATCAGGCCAGCAGAATTTCTGTAATTGGTGTATTTTGTTTTTTCCTCACAGCTGCATTTTCTTGGATATAACTTGGGATTCAAGGTACATTGTTTCCCTTTGTTACAGAGGACTTTTATATGTGAATCAGAACTCTCAGAAATGATGTTGGAAGCACTAAAACAATCTTCAGAACTCAACTCAATTTTGGAAAGACTTGAGTCCAACGTTTCAGCAGGTGCCATTCCATTCTCCTGTCTTCCAACATCTGACAGCTTGAGGTAAAAATGACTGCTGTGGGATTCCTGCTGTAACTTTGGAGCATTTTGATCATGACAGGTAGTTGCCTTCCTTTTTTCCTCATAAGTATCTAGTCTTGGGAAATTTCCTTCCAACCACTGAAACTGTTCTGCAATGGAAAGAACATGCCTTTTGCTACTTACAACTTCGGATTTCAAAGAATCCCCACTGACGTGTTCTTGTGGATGATGTAAACTCTCATCGCTGTTTACCTCAAGTTGCCCAGTCGTCTGTAATTCTTCTGGAGCACCATGAGGCAGAGGGGGAAGAGAAGGCAATATTGCACCATGATAGTCCCTAGGTGGAGCAGCACTAGGCCATTCTGAAATGCTCCCTGAATTGAAAAGTGGATTACGTAGGCCTTTTTTGCCAGGTGGAGTTTCTGATGTTGGTGAAGAAGAGAAGAGTGTAGGTAATGATTCAGAGTTTGTTATAGTTAAATTCATTTTGCAGTAGGGGATGAGAGGAGATGCTGCATTATGTAGGTTCTTGACCTTAACGTTACTGTTGTGATCTTCGTAATCTTTTAAAGTGCTAGGAGAAGCAAGTTTCACATCACCATCGATTTCATTCTTAGTCTGAATGGATTGGTCACTACCGGGTTGTCTAAAAGGAAAAGTAGTAGCTTGATCACTGAACGAAACAGACGCAGCTTGAAAGTGCAGGCTGTTCTCAAGAAGGGGTTGAAATATGGGCATGGAATGTGATGATTTCTTTTCAGGATGGGAAGCAAGTGGATGGACGTGGGCTCTTGGCCCAGGTGCTGCTTCTTTGCTGGGTTCCAGCACTCTCTTCTGTTTCAGCAGTACTTGGAGTGGGATAGTCTGCTTACTGAAACACACATCAAATCATCATCAGTGACTGATGATTCCTAATTAGAAATATTAGGCTAAGTTGAAATCTACTAAGATAACAAGGTACATATTTAATCAGTGTTTTCTGCTTTCAAGTATCCGTAAGCGTAAAATTACTGCATGGTTGCACGCATAGTTGCTAACCTGATAAGAATTTTTTCTGGTATCAGAATGGCACAAGAACAATTATCTATTTTGGTCAAAATAATTTTTCATTGAAGAGTTCCACCAATGATCAACAATTTCAGCCTCAAGAATGTATGTATCTTAATATACTTGAAGTTTTGAAGATGAGTCAAATGGAGAATATCCTCATCATGGATCAAGAACATACAATTCTTTACTGTACAGGAATAGAGTCTATCACAGTGGTCACCAACCAGTGGTCTGTAGACCACTGGTGGTCCATGAGAAAATTTTGGTGGTCCACAGGAAAATTATTTGCATTTTTTATATTGCACTAAATGCTATTTATCTTTAAAAAAAATCATATTAGTGGTCTGCTGGATTTAAAATTATGAATTTAGTGGTCCCTGAGGTCTGAAAGGTTGATGACCCCTGGTCTATCACATTACATTATCTTCTTTTAGAACTGTTTCCCTCTTTTCCCCTTTAATTATTTTTACCATCTGTAAACATTCAAAAAACACCAACCACTTACAATATGATGCAATCAATGTCTACTGAGAAATAGTGACTACATGAATGTATACACTAATATTAATTAGATAACATTCTTATGTTTATTTCTAAAATAGTATTTATAAACGTCTGCAATATAATACATAAAATAGTATGGGGAAATCAGTTTATTTATATGATTCTTATTTTCATGTATAATTGTATTACAACTTAGTACATTTAAATTACAACAATCGCCCTCACTGCTGTGGACAAAACGCTGGTGAACTTTTCCTTTTTAATAAGTGTTCCACTTATTATAAATATCACAACCCTTCATAGTAAAAACAAGAGGTTGTAATAATAAATATATGTTGTGTGGAGTTTTTTTCCATGATCAAAAACCACAAGGACAATTATGAAAACTGAGGTAATATCAATATACTTTTTGGCAATTAGGATTTTTTATGGTAGGGCAAAAGGTATTGAAGAGATTAAGCAATTTTCTCCCTTCAACTTACTTCCAGGGTCTCCAAACCTCTCAACCACCATGCTAGCTGTTAATCAGTGACATGGTTTCCTGCCATTTGAGGTAAGCAACATAGGGAAATAATAATATAAGCTTTTTTGTTTGTTTGCGCCTTCCAGTCAGTGTTGATTCCTGGCAGCAGCTTCAGTTTTCTTGGTAAGACACCAGAAGTGGTTTCTATTGCCTCCTACCTGGGGCTGAAAGAGAGGGACTGACCCAAGGACACTTTGTGCCCAAGGTGCGACTACAACTCAGGATCTCCTTGTTTCTAGCCTGGTGCCTTAACCACTATAACCAAACTGGTTCACAGTTAGTAAAAATTAGTTTAACATTATTTTGAAAAGGAGAGTATTAAAGAAATAAAAATCTTGGCCATGTGCACCCTGGCCCAAACGTTTTGCTTCATTGCTCTCCAAATGATGCATGTTAGTCCCTGACCCTGATATGCAATTTTGCTAAATAGCAAAAAAGAACAATACTAGGAGAAGGTTGGAAACCACACACCAAAATTCTTAAACTAGTCATTTTCCTATATTATAACAACAACAACTTTAACAAACAACAACATCTGCTTATTCCAAATCCTTGGGGAGGATTTGATAAGTGAATAAAAATGCCAAATCCAGCCTAAACCGTGACTGGGTGAGTAGCTATAATCTTGGCTGCCACTTAGAAAATCTTTCCCTCTGTCAATTGCAAAAGGCCACACTGCCTGGACCCGCACATATACCATGCCGATACATTACTATATACTAGGTTCTTGGGAAGAATTCAATTCTAAAGAGTTGGCAACTGTGACTTTACACAGTAAAGTAAAAATCGTAAACAAAAAAATCCGAATGAAATGCTAATAATGTATATCTGATCCTGATTTATAGTTTGCTAGAATTTCTGCTTTAAGTCATATTCTTATTATTATTGGCTATCATGTTACTACTGTGATAAATAATTGAAGATACTATTATGATAAACAATTTGGTACAAAAACACAGCTAAACACAAAATTGCATAAAGTTTCCATCCAGCTCTCTTTAAGATACAGTTAAAAAAAAGGAACAGGGTAGGGAAAAATTCAGCTAGTTCTTTTGCTTATGAAGAAAGTATTGCTGGTTCTAAAATCTTTCAGGGGGAGCAAAGGGGGTTGTGTGTGGGCGTGCCATACCCATAATTCTGTCTGTACGACCCCCCCACATATGTGTCCGCGACCAGCAAACAATCCCACCCCCGCTTTTGGCGCAGTTTTTTCGCCCTGCTCAGGCCCCCGAGGCTTGCTAGGAGACTGGGGAGGGCAAAAACAGCCTTCCCCACCCATGACGCCCTCCAAAGGCCTCAGGAGCTTCCCTGAAGGCTCCGTAAGGCAAAAAACAGACCTACGGGGAACCCAGAAGTTCGGGAATGGTGACTTCCGGTTGTCCGTAGGGCCGATTTTTGACCTCTGGAGCCTTCAGGAGGTTTTCCTGAAAGCTCCAGAGAGCGAAAAATGGACCTACTGGGAACCTGGAAGTTCGGGAATTGTGACTTCCGGTTTGCCCTTAGGGCTGATTTTTGACCTCTGGAGCCTTCAGGAGGCTTCCCTGAAGGCTCTGGAAGGAGAAAAATGGACCTACGGACAAATTGGAAGTCACTTCCTGTTTGCTCATAGGTTTGATTTGATTTTGATTTTATTATATTTATATGCTGCCCTTTTCCCCCGAAGAGGACTCAGGGCAGCTCACAATTCAAATCGAGGAAGGGGGGTACAGACAAAAAATAGGGCTGGTTTTTGCCCTCCGAAGCCTTCAGGGAAGCCTCCTGAAGGCTCCTGAGGGCAAAGAACGAACCTATGGGGAACCCAGTTTTTGCCCTCTGGAGCCTTCAGGGAAGCCTCCTGAAGGTCCCTGAAGGCTCCGGAGGGCGAAAAACAGTCTACGGACAAACCAGAAGTCCATTCCCAAACTTCTGGTTTGCCTGTAGGGCTGGTTTTTCGCCATCCGGAGTCTTCAAGGAAGCGTCCGGAGGGCAAAAAATAACCTCAAAAGAAGGTCGAAGTCAGCTGGCCAGTTGACAGGGCAGCGCCTCGCTTGCCCTAACAAATGGCTCCGCATGCCACCCGTGGCACGCGTGCTAAAGGTTCACCATCACGGACCTATATCCTACATATAGATTTCAAACCATTATTTATAGTCATTCAGAAAAGTCTTCAATTGCACTGCCAAAACATAGTAATTTCCTAAGTTTTTGGAAATTTTAAGGTAGAAAACAGAATTAATAGCAAATAACTATACCCAACAAGCAGAAAGATTTATTTAGAATAATCTTCCAATATTTATTAAAACTAAAAAAAAAACCCTTTAGGAATATACCAGATGGCAGTTTATCAGCACCATGGTTTGTTTAGCATCTTATATATATGTACCAATTGCAGGAACTCAACTTCAACTAGAATGGGTTATTAAGGAGAATTTTAAAAAACGAACAAACATTGTTTATTAGAAACCAGCATGGGTTTATCAAGAATAAATCACGTCAAATGAACCTGATTTAATTGGCCATAAGAATGTGGTACATTTCAACAAAGTAGTTGGCAAAGGCTCTCGTAAAATTCTTGTAGAGAAGATGATAAGAATGGGCTGGATTATGCTACCATTAGATGGGTTAAAAACATGGCTGACTGATTGCCCTCACCCATCCCACCCAATTAATTCAAATGGCCCTGTGTCAAAATTGAGGGAAATGCCAATTGGTATATGGATTTCCATTCTTATACCTCCACTCTTGAACGTATTTATAAATAACTTGGATGAGTGGTTAGAAAATATCAAATTTGCAGACTACACAAACATAGAGGGATAGCAAGGATCTTTGAGATTATAAAGATTAATTTTGCCAAGGACAGAGATTGACAAGATTAATTTTGCCAGGGATAAAGTTCTACACTGGAGTAGAAAAAAAAAGAAAAAAAAAGTATGTGTGCAGGATACAAGGGTACTCTTGTGGGCTTCATTTTTTTCCTCATTAATCTACCCTCAGTACCTCAAAATGACAAAGTGAAAACAGAAGCTTAGAAATATCTGTAAATTTATTAAAAAAGAGAAATCTGAAATATTACATTGGCATAAGCACTCAGACCATCTTCTCTATAGAAGTCCTCATAGCCGACAATGCATACTGTAGCAGAGCAAAGGCCATAAGGTCAAAGGATCTGCCTGCAGAGCTCAGAGACAGGATTATTGCAAGGCACAGATCTGGGGAATGCTACAATAAAATGTCTGCTACATTGAATGTTTCTAAGAGCCAGTGGCCTCCATAATTCTCAAATGGAAGAAGCCTGGGACAACTAGAACTCCTCCAAGAGCTGGTCACCTGGTCAAACTGAGCAATGGGGGGGGGGGCTTAGTAAGAGAGGTGACCAAGAAACCTGGTGGTAACTCTGAGCTCCAGAGATCCTGTATAGAGATGGGACAGACAAATCACTGCAACCCTCCACCGATCTGGGCTTTATGACAGAGCATCTAGACAGAAGCCTCTCCTCAATGCAAAACACAAGAAAGCCCTCTTGGAATTTGAAAAAAATAAAACATCTGAAGGACTGTGAAGAACAAGTTTCTCTGGTCTGATTAAACTAAGATTGAATTGTTTGGTCTCAATTCTAAATCTTATGCTTGGAGGAAACCAGGCACCACTCATCACTTGTCCAATATCACCCCAACAGTGAAGCATGTGGTAGCATCATGCTGTGGGGGTGTTTTTCAGCAGCAGGGACTGGGATTGGTCATGGTTGAAGGAAAGCTGAATGGAGCAAAATACAGAGCTATCCTCAATGAAAACCTGTTCTACAGTGTTCAGGATCACTTTCTGACATGACAACAATCCTAAGCATGCAGCCAAGATAACACCGGAGTGGCTTAGGGCAAACTCTGTGAATGTCCTAAGAAGGACCCAGCCAGAGCCCTGACTTGAACATCTCTGGAGGGACCTGAAAATGACTGTCTATCGATGACTGCCATCCAACCTGATTGAGGAGCTTGAGAGAATTTGCAAGAAAGAATGGCAGAAAATCCCCACTCCAGGTGTGCAAAACTTGTGTCATACCCAAAGAGACTCAAAGTTGTAATTCTGCCAAAATGCTTCAATAAAGTACTGAGTGAAGGGTCTGAACACTTTTGCCAATGTGATATTTCAGTTTTTTTCTTTTTAATAAATTTACATACATTTCTAAAATCCTAAAATAGCTCAGAAAAACTGCTAATGGCAGATACAGATACCTATCCTGAACTTATGCCCACTTTAAGCAATAGAAACAAACAACATAAAAAGAACCGAAGGGGTAGTGATCTTTTAAAGATTTCACAGGAAACTTTGACACATAATTTTTGTGGAGTAATATGTATGCCTTCTTCTTTTTGAATGTATGTGGTTAACAGTTTCCCAATCACATTGTCACTTCCCAGCTGGATCCATACTGTAGATACTAACCCTGCATCACGTGTTAAATATTATATACCTGAGGTTCATTCTAGAATTACCTTGCGAGTCCATCATGTTCTTTATCATTCATGGGTAAAATAATTAAGTTTTCAAACAACAGGGGAAACTTATTGTTCAATGCTTCTTTCCAGATCAGGCCCAATTCAGATCTGGAGTACTGCAATATTTTTTTTAGTCTACCTTGTAGATTGGGTCATGTTGCCGCCCGGTGGTGGGTGGCAGGTGGGTGGCGGTTGTACAGGTTGCTGTTGCTGCATGCGATCTTGAAGGCTCCGCTCTTTTCGGACATAGATTTGCAGCTTCTTATCGATTAGGGCTCTGCTCTGAGTGCTAGAGCTGGCGTCATGCATGGCAAGTCTTAGTTTAGCTAAAAAGCAAAAGAAAACATAGCAGAAACAAAAACAAAACTCGGGGGAAGGAGAGAAAAAAGTAATGATGCAACAAAAAAATAAAAAGGAACATGCAAATACTGCCATGAAAAAGTTGACAAGGATGCATCTCTTTCAGGTTAGCTACATGTCCAAACAAGTTAATGAGAAATAAAATAGTAAAATTAAGCAAGATTTTCAATGGTTTTTAATGAAATGTCCTTGGTGACTTAAGTCACTGTAACCCTCATGTAACTAACCATTTAAATCCAAATACTTGTCTCTAGTCCCAGTTAGCTGAAACCCAATAAGCAGCCAGGTGAGACATTTGCTGGCAAAGCTTTCATGAAGTCTGCTTTTGCTTTTATTGTTTTGTTAATCCATTGGAGCAGATTTCTAGAAACAAATGTTGTTAATCATCCAAAGCCAGTTTGTCTGCAGCCTCGCTAACCAGCAAGAAGAGAATGGAGGATGGGAAGGAGCCAATCAAAAATATGAGATATGAAAATAAAAAAAATGCAGCAGCATAAATTCCCAAAAGTCACAGCACATATTTAAACAATGACCCCTCCTTTTCCTCATCTTCTTGTTATTTCAACGATTGTATACATTTTGCTTTTTTGTCTGATAGAGCAACTTCATGCTGTACTTTGGGAATTAAAACATTTTGATAAACCAGTTTCTGAACTGAGAAAATTATGTGCAGGAGAAAATGCAGGAAAGCACAATTAGCAGACAGGTGCCATCAAGAATTCATCTGCCTTTCTCAGCTTTCAACAGAAGGAGCCCAGTAATAAAAAAGAATAGTATATTCTGATATTACAAGAAAGAAATAACAAAGAACCAGAAAAAGACATCTTTTACAGCCCACCCCCCTTCTGACTGTTAGTTTGCATTAAACAGTTAGTTCTGTTAACTTAGGTTATGTTAATAGATATTAATATAAGCTGTACAAAACAGAGTAAGCTGAAGCAGTTAATAAATACTTACATATAGCTTCATTGCAGAGAGCCAAAGCTGCAGCACAATCTCCTTTCTGCTCTTGATGCAGTGACTCTTGAAAGACTGAATCTGCCTCTTGCATAGGCCTCTCAAAGCCACCAGTCCTCCCTGCAAGGGCAGTATTCTTGGTTTCCATTCCAAGCTTCTTTCCCTCTTTGTCTAAACAGCCCCACCCGTGCCCACCCCTCCCCTAATGCTGATCGGACTGTTTTCTAACAATTCATATTGCAGGCCACATATCCTGAAGCCTGGTTCTTTGAAACCTGTCTGGAACCTGACCTGTGCATCAGAAGCAAAGGCATGTATAATGTTAAAACAATGTTCTGGGTTCCTTTTCCAACCACCACCAGCAATCCATTTATTCCCAAAAGCAAAGAGGTTTGCTCCTGGGGCAGCTACAGAGAAAATGGAGTACAGAGTCTTTGTTTTATAAGGGGGACTGGTCCTTGGTGTGGGCTTGCGGTGTGTGTGGGTGTATGTGCTGGTTCTAGTGTGTGATTCAGTCAAAAGGTCAATTTTAATTGTCCTTCCTGGTGTCTGTTGGCTTGCCTTTTTTTTTTGTGTAGATGGTGTCTGGGCAGACTGTTTCTGGGTGTGGGAAGTGTGACTGAACAGATTTTTTGTCTGGTTAATTACTTTTGGTTTTGGTACTTGGTTTTGCTATTGTCAGTTGATAGCTTAGCAGAGGTGCAATTTAGCAATTAATAGTCACAAGGTATGTGCCAGAATTTTCAATCTCAATGGATCATGGATTTGTGTTAATGGTTAAGGGATAACTGAGATAGTGAGAGAAATAAAGTTAATTTGGAATAAAAAATATCCTATGATTACTACTGATTATTAAAATAAAATTCTTTCCACAATAACAAGGGAGGTTATATAGCATAGAGGGTTGGAATTGAGGACAAAAAAGAGACATGAGAGCATCCTTTCAATATTTGAAGACCATCACAAGAAAGGGGGTATGGATTCAGCTGCTTCCCACTGGTTCGGGAGACCAGTGTTAACGTTTTGAGCAGTTCGATGAACCGGTTGTTGGAAGAAATATCCTTCCAACAGTTTTTTTGTTTTCCCCACTTTACAGTGCTAATTATGTCAGGAAGGCAGGAAGGAAGGAAGGAAACATTTTGGTGTGCCTCTGTGTTGTTTCTAGCCTAATCCTAATTCTTATCTTTATTGCCCTGTTTAAGTATTTTCAGAAACTGCCTCTCGGGTTTAGCCTTATTACATTGTAACACCCTTAATGATTCTTGGTAGTACACCCAGACTAGCAGGAGCCAGTTACAATGGCACTGAAAAAAGTGACTTATGACCATTTTCACACTTACAACCATTTTGAGCATCCCCACGATCAGGAGAGGCTGGGTGAGGCAAAGTGCCCCTTGATGTGAGTTGGCCATGCCCACCCAGTCACATGGCCACCCAGCCATGCCTATCTAACTGGTCATTAGGGCAGAGAACCGGTTGTTAAACTATTTCAATCCCACCTTGGTATTTATTCTTCATTGGTATGCAGACTAGAACCAGTGAATGGAAATTTTGTAGAGAGAAATTGAAACTTGAAATAAGAAGGAATCTTCTGACTGTTACAGCTACGTATTAAATAGTGGAACAGCCTGCTTCCTGAAGTTGTGGTTGCTCATCACTGAAGGCTTTAAATAAAGATTGGACGAGCCTTTGCAATGGTCTAATTATTCTTGTCTTTCACAAGGGGTTGAACTGTAAGACTTCTGAAGTCTCTTTCAATCCTATGATTCCATTCACTTTAGATTTCTAAGTGGCATCTATAGCATATAGAACTTATAGACTAAGGCTCTATAGACCTATAAACTAAGGCTCATGAAAAAGCAGGGATTTTTTTCTGGACAGAGAGCTTAACTGTGGTCTCCCCTACATTGATAATATCCAAATTAAGTTAATAAAATGTCATTCAGTTTTAATCCTATTTCTTTTAGTTACTTTTTACATATGTTATATTTCTATTTTATACTTATTTTATTAACTCAGTGTTGATCATTATATGTCTATAATTTGACATGAATAAAGTAAGTTAATAAAATATGCAGACTCAGAAGCTCTGTAGGTGCTGTAAAATGCAAAGGCACTGGAAATGCATTACTAGATTCAAAACACTATCATTGAGGCTTCTGGTGGAAGTCGTGCCGGTACAGAGCAAACAAACGGGGCTCCATTTAGTTTGCCTGATTTTTTGTGTTTGGAGGCCCTTATGGGGTGAAGTTGGATCCTGGAGGGATCAGCGGTGTAGATGGGTGACCTCGGAGGGAACGGAAAGAAGTGTGATCTCCCATTACAACCCCTCAGATCTGACATGAAAGAAATCCGCCTCTATGGCAGATCTGGAGGCATGACAACCTGACTGTTCAAATGGAGAAGGAAGAGAAAAATGATAAAACAGTGTGAAGTATCGGTGGAAATAGCCTAAAAGGAATTTGGCATTTGTTTGACTCTCCGTGATTTTGAGAAATACGAACTACATTAGATGATGAGTGAGTCTCCAAGAAGGAGGAAAAGCAGCGATTTGGTGGCGGGAGCGGAGGCAGTGTAGAAACAGATATTGAGAAGGACAGATCATGTGGAAGGTATGAGTGAAAGATCTGAATGGGCACCCTTTGAAAAACTTAAAGAAAGACTATGTGTAGGTGGGGGTGGGAGGATTAAATTGGTATGGGCATGCGTATGTGCGCAATAGTGCATGCACACAATTTTGCATGCCATAAGAAAAAGGTTTGTCATCACTGTTTTAGTCTCTTCTTAAAAACCTCCAGTGATGGAGCACCCACAACTTCTGGTGGCAAGCTGTTCCACTGGTTAATTGTCCTCACCGTTAGGAATTCTCCTTAATTCCAGGTTGCTTCTCTCCTTCATTAGTTTGCATCCATTGTCTCTTGCCCTGCCCTCCAGTACTTTGTAGAATAATTTGACCCTCTCTTCTTTGTGGCAGCCCCTCAAATACTTGAATACAACTATCATGTTGCCCTAATTCTTCTTTTCTTTAAACTAGCCAAACCCAAAACCTGCAGGCGTTATTGGTATGTTTTAGTATGTCCAGGCCTTTGATCATCTTATGGATAATTCCAATGCAATTCTATAACTGTTAAATAAATTTTACATGCATATCTACATATATGAGAGGCCCTTATACATATCTGCAATTCTTTTATTTTGAATTGCTTTTTTTCTTTTCTTTTTTTCTTCTACTAGTGCTTTTTTGTTACTTTGCTTTAATAACTAATGGCAAAAAACTATTCTTTATGATTTTTTTTTACAGTTCATGTTTTTTCTGAATACATAACAGATTAGTACAGTATCTATTATCATTTTTCCAAGCACATATTATCCGAACACATTACCTTGATTTTGCAGTTCATCCAGATCCATGAATCTGCTTGGGTGGGGATTAAAGCCCAAGGCTGCCTCTAGTTCCTTTTCCTGCTTCCTCTGGAAGTCTTGCTCCTGGACCCTTCTTGCTACTTCTTCTTGTAATTCATCTAATTCACTCTTGGAAGAAACAAGTATCTCCCCACCTTTGGGGGGGGGGAACCCAAAATGTTTCATCTTATATTATATTTATTTACTACATTATTTACTTTTATAGTTTTCTGTGCTTCTTCTGGGCTAGTTTCATTAAATGAACTGTAGCTAATAGAAATTTTGAGTCAAACAATAGTTTCCAATGAAAGGTTTATAGAGGAAGTAAAAAGTCTATAGAATGTCTACTGGGTTGGGCTTGCAATGGTTACAGATATTCAGCCATACAGTCTGTGTGTGTGTGTGAGCGCGCATGCGCAATACTTCATATAAACTGCTGTTGTTTATGTTGCTTCTTTCTCATCTAAAAAGCTCCAAATGCTATTGGTATTTCTCATAAGGGAACTGATCTAGTTCTAGTGGTGAGTTACAACCGGTATGCCCTGGCGTACTGGTGCCTGCCAGGAGCACCAGGTATCGTTCTGGTACGGTACTCTGGAGGGCCCACTCGCCTGCCCTCCTATGAGCCTGTGATCAAAATTTGGGCACTTGCATTTATTTATTATGTTTGCAGCATCTTGGGGAAACCATTTGCAATCTTCCCAAGGGCTTCTTACAAGCAAAGTCAATTGGGGAAGCTGGATTCACTTAATATCCATATCATGGTGATTCGTTTAACAATTATGGCAAAAATTACATAAAATCAGGTGTAACTCACTTTGCAATTGCATCAGTTAGCAGTGGAAATTATGGTCCCAATAGTGATTGTAAATAAATGGTACGGACTACCTGCATTGTTATATTTTGTTGGTTTGCAATTACAGGGTTTAAAGTGCACTATATGGGTTTTCATAAAGTTCGGTCTTATGAGTAGATAATGGTAGTTTCCTAATGATTACTAACATAGGCTTTAACTTTTTTGCTGGTACACACTGAGTTTGTATTGGGCTATCCACAATACATTCAGGGTGCCTTTCCTAATCAGATGCTATCTCCTTCCTTCTGTGAACAAAGGAAAATGACCTAGACAAAAAAGAGGAAATCATAGTATGGATTGCAAGTATTTGGACAATGACACCTTACCATTACCAAAGGAGTATTTATTTTTTATCCTGCAGGTTTTAGACGAGTCAGACTCTACTTCCAAGATGCTACTGCTATGTGATTTTGGAATATTATGCCAGGCAGGAATAACATCTCCAGTTCGTTTGATATGATAATCCCTTTAAAAAGAGAGAAAAAAAAACACCTTTTATTTCCTCATGAAACATTTTCACTTCTCTTTGTAAAGGAGCAGTAAAAGTCCTAAACTTACTACTGAATTACATTATTTTGAAAAATTAAACATTTGTATCATAATCCAACATGTATTTTTTTCCAAAGCAAGTTCCATAGGACTTTTGGATGTATAATAGATATATGATTAAAGAATTAATGATTCCTACCCTTCAGTGGCCTGAACTTTGTTAGGAGCTTACAAAAATTATCCACAGTGAATGCCGACTGGAACTCCTGTCAACTATGGTATTGAAATTAATTTGGCATAGAGATGGCAGCTGTGAGACAGTGTATGATCACTCTATCTTTCTATATATTTTAAGAGCATCAATAAATTTTTGGGTTGTATATTTATATAAAAGTGTCAATTTAGATTAAATCACCAATATTTCTCAGAGAAAAATGAAATGGGAAAATAATTTCTTGTAGAGGTAAAATGTGGCAGTGTAATAGCTACCTAAGTAGTTAAAACCAACTATATAGGCATACATTTGAGAACACCTTTTCTTTATTACAGATTAAAAGTGCATCATAAATTTTGAACATATTTCTGAAAATAATTACATAATGTAGAAATTGGATTCTCAGATATTGCAATGGTTGGTCACCAATCTCCATCATCATGTGATCAAAATTCAGATGCTTGGTAACTGCTTCATACTTATGACCATTGCTGTGTCCCAAGGTCATGTGATAACTTTTTGATAAGTAAAATCAATTGATAATCCAGATTCACTTAACAAAGTGACTTATGACCATTTTTCACACTTACAACATGGTCGTAAGTCACTTTTTCAGTGCTGTTGTAACTTTAAATGGCCACTAAATGAACTTTTGTAAGTCAAGGACTACCTGTATTTACCAAAGTCTCTTACTGCCATGGGTAAGAAAACCTCTTACCACTAATTAATATATGAAAAAATCCTTAAATTACTTCAGTAAAATATATAGCTGCACCAAATAGTTTCTCTTTTATATAAACAAAAGTTTAATTACAAACCTCTGTGCTTATAAAAATAAGCTCTAAACTTCCATTATTCATATCTTATAATAAAGAGTAATACTGAGAGTAGATAATAGTATTTTTACTTTCATAGAGGGGAAATTCTGATTCACTGTGAGACCATAAATAAATGAAGAACAGCCAGAAAAAAAGACTTTCCAAGGATCTGCTCCTGTAGCATCCTAAGAGATTATTCAAGGAGTCATAGTAATTTCTCCCTTTGAAATGATCCTTGGCCTCTGGTTTGCTCTGCCAACCAAGTTCTTTGGGAAGAGCACCCATTTCTTGCACAGAGTGCTTGCATTACCACCACCCTCAATAGGCACAAGGAAACAACAACCAAGATCTTCATAGCCAGCCATCAACACCCCAATCAACAACTAAAAACCCACACACAATCAGGCACCATATAAATACCACACACAGAATAGCCCAAAGCACATACTTTGCTAGAGAGAAGTTCCCTGAGGATGGGTTCCAGCACGAGTCCAAAAGCTCAGAAGACAAATCTCTGGTCCCGGTGATCCAGTCCCAGATTGGATCCTGTAACATTATCCTGGGACACTTATATTCTCCTTCATTCAAGACATAATTTGGTCTATTCCTCTAGACCAGGGGTGTCCAAACTTGGGAACTTTAAGACTTGTGGACTTCAACTCCTAGAATTCCCCAGCCAGCCATGCCATGTTCCCAAGTTTGGACACCCCTGCTCCAGACAAATAAATCTTCCACAAGCTTCAACTTACATGAGAAATTCTTAAACAGACTGGCTGCCATAGCTCATTTGCTCTCCACATTCAATCTTATGAAAATGAACAAAAGGAGCATTCTTGAGCACTCAATAACTGCTTTCTTCTTAAAGAGAACTGAAGAAAGAAATGGACTATGGCAAGTCAACACCAAATCCAACTAAAAAGTTGGTTGACTATCCGGCGAGTAATAAGTGAGATGATTTCTTATTTTAGCTACTGGCCAGGGACAATAATATCTCCAAATTTTGGTGCTAAAATATACATATTCTATACGTATGGCAAGCGACTGTCATCTCCTGGAGTTCAGTTGGATAGCATCAATAGATAGCATCCATTTTATTTCTGGCTTTTTCAATGCTACATTTGTTGTGTTAATTTGACCATAGTGCCTTCATTTAATGGGTTTCTTAGTTCTGGTTTATTATATTGCCTAGTGTTTTTGCTTTATATTAATCAAATATCCCCTATTTTTTAATGCAGGTGCTGTTGACATTATTGTTCTTTTATAAATTCTCATAGGTCACTGTTTCCCAAACTGGATGGCTTTGTGATGTGTGAACGTCGACTGCCAGAATTCCCCAACTAATATAGCCATTGCTAAGAATTTAGGCAGTTAAGGTCCACACATCTCAAAGGCACATGGAGTGAAACTTGTCAATAACTCTTTTAACCAGATTGACTTAAAATCCTCTAAGAATTAGTGGCGTCAGATTCACTGAGAAGAAAGCTAACATTAGTAACTTTTACAGTTCCAATGCTATTTATAAGTGCCAAGATCTTCTGTTCATGAAATTTAATAGATAAAGTGGGTATAAAAAGTCTAAACACTAAAATGCCAGGTTTTTGAGATGTAAAAAACGTAGATCAAGATAAAACTCTTCAGACTCTCTTCATTTTTAACATAATATATAATCTGTAGAATTCAACTGAAAAACAAACTGAAATCTTTTAGGGGGGGAAATAAAAACTCACAATAACAACTATATAAATATGCACAGCATCTTATAAGTAGAGATGTGGTTTAATCAGAATTAATTACATTCAGATTGATGTTAAAAAGTAGTCAGTACACATCTGCCATCAATCAAAATGATTCTGTTGAAGCCCATAAAAGTTCAGCTGTTCTAGTAAGATTTTTCTGATATTTACTCGCCGCTTACAGAAAAAGCCATGATCTGAGAAGAGTTTACATAGTTGGAAGCTATCAATCAGGAGAAGGGTACAAAAAGAAACTCTAAAGCATTGAAACTCTACCTACCTACCTATCTACACTCTCTCCCTCCCACCCTAACTACTGTATTTCTCTCTCTCTATTTCTCTCTCTCTCTCCTTTTACCTACCTACCTACCTACCTACCTACCTACCTACCTACCCAACTACCTACCTACCTACCTACCTACCTACCTATTCTTTCTCTCTCCCTATCTACCTACTGTATTTCTCTCCATCCCTCTATCTACCTACCTATTTTTTTTTAAAAAAATTGCTTCTTCAAAACCTGGGTGTGTCTTATAATCTGGTGCGTTTTATACTCCGAAAAATATGGTAATTCTTGTACTGCAGCGAGTTGTCCTGTTCTATTGAATTGTACAACTTATGTTATGTTAAAGATGGGAAAAATTCTGAAGTAATTTATCTTTCTTTGGTCTGATTTTCTTTTCACGTCAAAACTCTGTGAATTTCCTAGGTATTTTACACTTTTTATAGCCACTATAGAAGGCTGCCCATCCAAGGTTGGCTGCATGGCGAAGAAAGCTTCATCCTCCACCCCTTCGTTTAGTGGCCGCAGCATCGGTGTGTCATTCAGCCTCCTGCTTTGTTGTGGCGGTGAGCAAGGAGAAGCATCGTTCTCCACCCCCACCTTATTTTGTCCTCTACCCCTCCATTGCCTTGTTTCATCCTCCAGCCCCCCCTCCCCACACTGCCTTGTTTCATCCTCCCCCCACCTTGCTTTGTGGCTGTGGCACCTACCCACCCACCTTGTGTTGGCAGCAACCAACATGGACAGAATGGGCGGCTGACTAGCTGCACAGGCTCTTAAGTAGGGCTTACTTTAGGGGCTAAGGCTTATATTTGGCACAGACATGAAAATTGGGCTAGGGCTTATTTTGGGTGAAACCCGGTAGTTCCTAATAATTTCCCATTTCACAATAAAATAATATATTAAGATACTTAAAAACAATGTTAGAATAATTAAAATATATTTTAATGAAACATACCTAGAGGTATTTGAGCTCTCTGACAAAGGCATATCCAGACTGACTGGACTGTTGCTATTGCGATCACTGCTTTCATAACCAGATTCCATCCTTTGAATCAGACGAGGATGTTGATCCATCCTTTGATGTGCACCACGCCCTAAAGTCCAGTGCTTATACCTGTTGGACCGCCTTGATCTTGTTTCACATGTTGGCTCCTTCAGTTCATCTTTTATAAATTCTTTGGCTGACAAATATATTATATGAAAGAAAAGGTAAATGTAATTCTTTCACTTAGTATTTCAATACAGTTCAGTTTCTGGTAGCGCAAATTTCAGCTCCAGAAGCTCACTGTCACTTCTACTGATTTCCCCAAAAAGAAGATCCATCTCAAAAATAAGCCCTTGATTTTTTAGTATGCTCCTTTCCCCAAAATAAGCTCTAGTTAAGGTTGTCATCAGCCAGGCCAGCATCAGAGGTGGCGATGGCACAGGGGCTGATAGCAACCGCAGCCTGCATAGCGCAGGTGAGTTAATTACCTGTTCAAGCAGCAGGCAGATGTGGGCGGAGGAACATGATCTGAAGGCACTGCATCGGCTGAAAAACAACTGAGAGTCGGTGGGCTGGAGCAGGCATCTGACCGCATGAAGATCGTCTTCTTACAGTGGCACTAGCAGCAGACGGAGGCAGAGGTGTGGCAGAGGCACGTGAATAGGATGCACTGCGTGGGCTGCAGGCAAGCCTGCCCACTCTGTCCCATTGTCTTTTGGCTTGCCTGAAGCACGCGTGGCATGTCGAGATCGCCTGCCTTCCCCCTGCACCTCTGCCTCCATCTGCTGCTGATGCCACTGTACGAAGATGAGCCTCCCGCAGCCGACTGCTCACTCCAGCCCACCGCTGGAGGCTTTCCCACAGCCCGTGCAACGCATCTGGGTTACGTGTCTTACCCCGCACCTCTGCCACCGTCTTCTTGGACAGATAATCAACTCATCTGCACTGCACAGTCTGTGCAGTCCCAGAGTGCGCCAAGGGGCAAGTGGGCTGCAGCTGCTGTCAGACAATGTCCTTGGGTCTTATTTTTGGGGAAACATGGTATCAGCCAATTTACCTCACAAGGTTGATGTTGTGAGTTAAATTGTAGGAGGGAGTTCTACATATATTCCTTGTATAATAAGTATAAATCTTTATTATGGTCAAAGACCAGCAATACACATTACCTTTTACCATATGTTAAAAGTACTGACATTAAAATATAATTAAAAAGTATTGACATTAAAAGTGGATAATAACATACATGTTCTCAAATTATTCAGGTCACTCCCTGGTTTACTTGGGTGCAAAGCTGATAAGTATGGGGGTAAATACAATGGTCCAGAAATTGTTAGAGATATGTCCAAATAATTGGTACAAGATGACAACTATACTTCTATGACGAATTTTTTTCTTGTGGACATTTCAGCAACACAGAACTTTGCCACTGCATACGTGGTAGTCGGGTTTGTGTCCTGGAGGAGAAAGTCTACATAAAAATTGTCTGCCCTCCCTGACAATTTCTCTAATAAGGGGAGAATATGTGCAGACCTACAAACTCTGTATAGCTCACAGTGTAATAGAACATGTGAGATATCTTCCACTTTTCCTTTATCACATATACAAACCCGTTCTGCTATTGGTGTTCTCTTATACCTGCCCTGGAGGAGTGCTGAAGGAAAAATGTTAAATTTGCCATTCTTTGAGTTTCTGACAGAAAGGAAGGCTATAAATTAATTGAATAAACACATGTTTGCCCATAAAACTGGTACTATTCTGCCCATCTTAAATTCCACCTTAAATCCATAATTAGATTCACAGTAATGTTAGGCTATAATGTAGCTCACTTATTTTTTTATTTTGTGTGATAATGTGAGTATAACTACTTAGTTTTGCATAATAAAATTGCTGAATCAAAATACAGATTTAAATCTCTTCCAATGCTATACACAGTGCACACAATTATTAGGCAAGTGAATATTTCAACCATATCATTTTAATGCACATTTCCACCTCCAAGCTGTATAAATTTGAATGCTTAGGGGATATAAGTATATTGAGTGATGTGTATTTGTGTAATGTGTCCTAAGGAGATCAACACACTATATCAAGGTGTGTTTCTTTTCCTCAGGCAAAATGGGCCAAAAAGAGATTTAACTGACTCTGAAAAGTAAAAAATTGTAAAAAGTCTTTCAGAGGGATGTAGCATTTTTGAAATTGCTAAGATATTAGGGAGTGATCACAGAACCATCAAATGTTTTGTTACAAATAGTCAACAAGGTTGCAAGAAACATGTTGAGAAAAAAAAGCCCATTAACTGCCAAAGATTTGAGAAGAATCAAATTATCCTCCAGTGCTGTCATAGTCCAGAACTGCAGCCTACCTGGAGTGCCCAGAAATACAAGATGTTCAGTGCTTAGAGACATGACCAAGGTAAAGAAGGCTGAAACCTGACCACCACTGAACAGGACATAAGTTGAAATGGCAAGACTGAATGAAGAAATATCTGAAGACAGATTTGTCAAAGGTTTTATTGACTGATGAGATGAGAGTGACTCTTGACACACCAGATGGATGGGCCTGTGGTTGAATCAGCAATGGGCACAGAGGTCCACTTCAACTCAAGATATCAGCAAAATGGAGATGGAGTATGGGCTGGTATTATTAAAAATAAGCTAGTTGGACCTTTTGGGGTTGAAGATGGACTCAAAATGAACTTCCAAACCTATTGCCAGTTTTTAGAAGACATTTTCTTCAAGCAGTGGTACAGGAAAAAGTCTGCATCTTTCAAGAAGACTACGATTTTTATGCAGAACAATGCTCCATCGCAGGCATCGAATATTCCACTGCGTGGCTAGCCAGTAAAGGCCTTAAAGGTGAAAGAATAATGACATGACCCCCTTCTTCACCTGACCTACACCCTATTGAGAACTTGTGGGCCCTTCTTAAATGGGAGATTCACAGTGAAGGAAAATAGTCCACCTCTCTGAAGAGTGTCTGGGAGGCTGTGGTTGCTGCTGCACAAAAAGTTGATTGTCAACAGATCAAGAAACTGACAGACTCCATGAATGGAAATATTATGACTGTTACTGAAAAGAGGGGTGGCTATATTGGTCACTAGTTATTTTTGTGAACTGTCAGAAATGTTTATTTGTACTTTTTGAGTTGTTTATTATTCTCAATTTAACAGATGAAAATAAACAAATGATTTTTCATTCAGTTGCATAATACTTCTGCACACTAATAGATGCCCAATAATTGTGCACAGATAGATATTCTTTCAAGAAAGCCAAACCTCATTTTCCCTTTCTTAAATATTCAGGTTTGAGGTTTATTAACATTTTGGATTGACAGAGAGTGCTGTAATTGTTAAATAATAAAATTAATGCTGAAAAATACAACTTGCCTATTAACTGTGCACATAGTGTATATCCACTTTTTCTCATCCTTGCAAAAATCTGTTCAACTTTACTTCTAATATTTTCTAAACATCCTCACATCTCTTATCTTTTTATGTAATTGATATACTGCTAGACAGACATTTATCCAAACTGAATTTAGATACCACCTTTTTACAGACATCACCTTAGCATTTTTTAACATTTTTTCACAGGTAGTTTTTTTTTCTTTAAGTTAATACATTTTAAAGCTTGTAGGATTAGCCAATTTCACTATTTTTGCAGAAGAAACAGCATTCTGTGATTTGTTGGAACCAATTACCAGCAGTGGTTTCTATTTCACTGGCTTTTTACACAGGCTTAACTATCATCTGTTTTGGGATATTTTAATGTGGATATATGATTGAATAGTTGACTTGATAGCTTACATGACAGTTTGTTGATTATATACTTTAGGAAAAAGTTACAAAAAATATCACAAAGAAAACAGATGTAGAGCCTTTGGAACCATTTTAAGACACATTCTCATCCATGTTATTTTATTTTACTATTTATTTCATTTCATAAAGTCAGAATACCAAAGCACAATTGAATATTCAATGCTAACCTTTAAATATCATTTGACAGCTCAATTTTTTTTTCTTTGCTTATTGATACGTAGAAAAAAAAATTCTTTGGATAGTATCAATGACTCTCAATAAACAAGCATATATATTCCATTCCATTCTCTTGCCCATTTTTACCTGCATCTTCTGCAAAGGGGCTGAGTTGGGTGTAGCCACCTTGTTTTCTCTTTTCTTTACTGAAGATGCTGTCTATATTTAGCGGCTCTCGTTTGGGTCTCCAAGGTGGGCGGTACTTGCTAGAAGAACTTGACTTTGATTCACTACTGTTGCTGTCTATTTCCCAGTCTTGAGACTGAATGGTCAAAGTTCTGGGTAGTGACTGGATTTCAGTCTGGTTCTTCCCACGAGGGGATCCCTGATGTGTCTGTGAAGGCCTGTTGTGGATCATGTTGCTAACCGTCTCTTTAAATTCCCTTAGTTTGCTGGTACCATTCAAGATTTTAGAAGCAGATCTGGGGACCTGTTTCTCCTTCAGTGTCTCTCCTATGTTTTAAGAACAAAAGAATACTATGTAAACAATATAAATATCCTCAGTAGACTGTTTTCATCAAATTTCTGAACTGATAACAGTCCAAAAAGTAATCCAGTCCCAACTTTGATAAACACAAATAATAGAATCCAATCATTTTTACCTTCACTGTGATATCCAGATGACTGTGTTTCGTCCCCCTTCTTTCTAGATCTGTTGTTATTTCTCTTACGGTCTGCCAGAGAACTCTTTTTGGAAGTATGTCTCTGATTGCATTCACTATCAGTCAGGTGACCTGAAAGAAAAGATGTAAAACACATTACAAATTATAGTTCAATGTTTTTTTAAAACAGATGCTGTTCATTCTCACAGACTTTAGATACAAAAACTATTCGTTAATGTTTGAAAATTAGTTTTTTTTAAAAACAACCCTAGTTTTATTTTATATGTAGAATAAAAGTTTTTCATCAAACTAACATTGATTTCTATAAATTCTATAGAGAACCTACAGGAATTGAAAGCAGGATATTGCACCTTTGTTCAGAATGATACACTACTGATCCTGCTTTCTCAATTTTTTTTAATCTGGAAGGCAACATATATTAAATTAGAATGTAGACACTAAAATTATATTAAAACATGATAATTCTAAAATTAAAACTAAAGTGGTATCTATGAATTTCAGTTACATAGACTGCACTGCAGATAACTGGCCCATCAGGGTCCAATGTTGTTGCATGAAACCTATCGTATTTTTCAGAGTATAAGATGCACCAGAGTATAAGACGCACCAAAATTTTGAAGAGGCAAATAAAAAAAAAGTTTTTGTACTCTGCAGATCTCCCGAAAACGTTTTGCAAAAACAGGCCTGGTTTTTTTCCTTCAAAAAAGGGGGCACGAATAGCTTTTAGGAGGCTTGTAGAATGCTCCTGCGGGGTGGAGTGGCCCAAAATCGAGCAAAAAACAGCCCATTTTTTGTGAAAATGGGTCCATATTTTGTCAAAAAAAAAAAAGGTATAGCCTTTAGGAGGCTTATAGCGTGCTCCTGGGGGGTGGGGGGGGGGAAAATTGAGCAAAAAATGGGCCATTTTCATTCACTTCTGCCCTCCCCAGCCACCAGGAGCACTTTGGAAGCCTCCTAAAGGCTATGCACAGCCATTTTGGTGAAGGGGGTAGGGTTTCGGGAAGCAAAATACTGTATTCAGTGTATAAGATGCACCCAGATTTTCAGCCTCTTTTTTTGAAAGGAAAAGGTGCATCTTATACTCCGAAAAATGCGCTGTAACAAAAGATAGTTCATTTATGACCATCATCTGGGCATGGGCTGAATCTGGGCAATCAAAATATGTACTAATCAGAGGTAGGATGAATCTGGTTCGGATGTCTCTGTAAAAAGAGCAACAAAGATGACAATGTTGTGTAATTTCCACCTCTCCGGATCATATCAGTAAAGCCATTCAGCCAATAGTACTTTTTATCTTTAACATCCACTATGCAGAGGGGAAAGCATGGTATCAGATAAGAGAAAAATTTCCAATCATTAGGTGTTTCCACCTGCATATTGTACTGGCAGCAGTGACAAATACATATAATAGGGTACCAGGTTTACAGTAATTAGCACGTAATCAATGGTATTTGTTCTGATGCTTGCCAGAAATGGGAATTCGCCTAATCTACTACAAAAGAATTGTGTAGTATAAGGAGAAATTTACTTCTAAACTACATAATCCATGCTTTACTATGTTTACAACCACAACAAAACAGCATGCAAAGAATTCTTTTTTTGCATGCCTTTTTTTCCCAGTCAACATCTCTTATAGCAGTGATCCCCAACCCCCGGTCTGCGGACAGGTGCCGGGCCGTGGAGTACCTGGCACCGGGCCGCGCAGCGGCCGGGGGCCATGATCGCTGCAGCGGCCGGGGGCCATGTTTGCTGCAGCGGCCGGGGGCCATGATCGCTGCAG